ATCAAGCAAATTAGGTAAAACTCAAATGTCATAATTAAAAAACTGAGTACTTAATCAACAACATGAAATAGGAATGATGCGTTTATTTATCGAGGTTTATGCAAACTCATTCTAGAACATTTTGACCGTGATGTCGATAAAATATGAAAAATAATAGAGAAATAATTTTATATAATTTTTTATATAATTTTTTATATTATTTGATAATTAATTTTTTTCATTGTATTAAAACTAGTAATATTTTAATGCAAAAATCATATAAATGGGTTAGATAAACTTATTATGCTCAAAATTTATTATAACTTGAGATCAATTCATTTTAAATCTAGTTCAAATATCTTGGTAATATATATATATGTAATTTATTTATTTATTAAAATTAAAATTATTAATCTACTCACAAGTCCTTTAGTACACTAACTAATAAACCTATTACTGATTAGTAATAAAATCAAAATTTCTTAGCCAAAATCTTGTATTCCATATAAATGGCAACCTTATATTGGATGTAAAAAGGTTCGAATGAGTAAATAAAATAAAATAAAACAAAAAGTAAAAATGAGGTATAATTTTCTAGACAAAAACTCTTCTTAAGTCCTCAAAATTATCCCAAAAGAACATTTAAACCCTTAAACGAAAAATAAAGCAAATAAACCCTCTAACTCTACTAATGATGTAAATAAACATTTTTCATTCATGGGTGTTCATGCTTTTAAGGTGATATTAAATATGAAATATCGTTTGGTTCATTTGCAAGAAAGGTTTATTTGCATTTTTGGTGGAGTTAGAGGGCTTATCTGCTTCATATTTAGTTTAGGGCCTTAGATGCTATTTTGGTATACGTTTGGGGGCTTAAGAAGGGTTTTTGCCAATTTTCTATGTAACAAAATTTCGTAGGAAGCAGAGTGAGATACAAAAACCTCTGGCATTAAGGTTTCACTTGAAACAATCTTCGCCATTGAAACAGAACATCAACAAAGAGAAAGGAAAAAGGCAAGGGAAGGAAGCTTTTACTCTTTCCGGAACTACTTCTGGGATGGGTAGTCCTTCTTGAACTTGTTCAGCAAGGCTTTAGGCAAAATGACAACAAAGCACTCTCCTTTTCCTAGTATTATTTAAATCGGTCCCTTCCTCTCTTTCCAAACACACACTAAACACTTCCCTCTTCCTACAATCTCACTACCCAAACGCGTGAAAGTTGGTTACTTTGCTGCTTTGAAGCGGATTCTCGAGGTTAGAAAGCCCTTTTCTTTTGTTTTCAATCTTGGGTTCATTGATTTTCATCAGATTTTGCAATGATAGTTGTTGTTTGTGGAGTTTCATGTTATGGGTTGTGTTGCGTGTTAATGGGTTTGGTTTAGAATTCTGTTTGGTTTATGAGAAAGTGTGGATTTATTAGAAGGAGAAGAAAGAGAAATTTGGGCATTTTTCCATTTCTGATTAACTGTGGTGGAATGTAGATCAAATTCCATACTATACATTAGGGTGTTCGCGGTGTGGTTTGGTTCGAATTTTAACATTTTTTAATTTAATCAATAAAATTTTTAAACTAATTCAATATATTATTATATAATAATTAAACCAATCCAATTGAAATCGGATCGATGTGGTTTGATCAGATTGATCGGTTTTTAACATTATTAAATATATGAGATAATGTAAATAATTTTAACATTAAGTAAAAAACATAAATATAAAATCGTTAATATCTAAATAAATAGAAACATAATTAAAAAAAGTACAAATTATAAACAAATTCTTATACTATTTTACAATCGTAAAAATTGAAAAAATTTAAAAATTATAAATAAATTCTTAAATCTTTATCTTGATCTCCAATAATACCAAAAAAAAGGCTGCCACCAGCCTCCCAAGCTCTCTTAATTCTGAATTTGGATGGGCATTTATAAGGTTTTAGAAACCCTAATTGGAATTGAAGTAAGATTTGAAACAGAATAAGAAACTTAAATGTCGAACGCTGAACGTATAGTGCTGACACCTTAAATTACGTGTCGACACAAAACAGAAAACAGAAAGTTTGATTCTGGATTATTAACCCATGGTGTCGACACC